TCAAGAAGGGAGAGTACTTAGGGTATGTTCGATACGTCATTAGGTGCGTAATGAGCTGTAGATGGCTGCACGCATATTAGATTTTACAAAATATGATGTTTGCGACATTAAAATTAAGTTTTTCATGGAAAATCGGACACCGCAATTTGTTAGGATAAAATTAGCATGCACCGGAAGTCGCGGTAGCCTATATAAAGGGACGGCAAGAGCATTTTTAATTTTTCGTGATCCGAATCCGGGAAATTTATGCAAAGCCAAGAATATCATTGGAGAATACGGGGCCAGGGTTGAAAAGCCGCGAAGCGGTTTTTCAACCCTGGTTACCTTGTTAAATTGTTGTGTCTGATCAGGAATTAAAATTCGTAGCGAATTTTTTGTGTTGCTTAATCGGGTCTCGAGGATGTAATCCCAAAAGCAATAATGAAATTTTTAAAAATCTACGATATTAAACATCATAAACTTTGCTTCTAACCCTCAATCACCCCCACCTATGCGCTTGTGCCCTTTCGATGAGCTCAAGCAGGACTGAATTTTTCTTGGCCTTGCGGATAAAGGGATGCTTCAGGAGTTCTTTAGCGGCAGGTCTCTGAAAGTTGGAAGAGGAATTTGGCAAGGGTGGAATATGCAGTAAGTACCTGATCCGGATCCTTATTTAGACAGGCTTCCACAAAATCCTTGAAACCTTTTGTCCACTGCGAACCGGTCAGATGGGGCGCCGGATTTTTTGGAATTAGGAATAGCACCTGAAATATATCAATTTTTCGATTCACTTCTGTTTTGACGGTGTGCCCTTCTAGAGAGCCTTAAAAAGAGTCCTTTAAAGGGGCTACGACATCCGACCCAAGCCCCCCCCCCCAACGTTGATTCCTGGCAGCGAGCCAGATGCCGCCGCAACGCGACCGCGCCGCATTATCTTTTTGCCCCGTTTGGGCGTGAAAACGCGCTCATTTTAAAATTCTGTCGCTATTGTGGAATTTTCACGCAATTTAGATCATTCGCGTCGTTTTAATTATTAAAATTGATGAGCTATACACCGAGATCGAGAAATTGAGTGCCTTACAGGGCATTACGACATTGAATCGACACGCGCTCAAAAGTTCGTTTTCGCCCCCGAACAAAATTTCGGTTTTTTTCAAGTATTTTGTATGTTTTCACAACGAACTCAATTTTCAGGCACTTTTCGGCGGCAACCATATCGTTTTTTGACCAGTAGGTTGAATCCCCAGACACGCGAATTCTTGCTAGCCTCTTTAAACTCCCAGGCAATTTACCAATGGCGTATAATCTATTCTTGGTGGCAAATTTACAACCCACACACCCTCATTGGATGGAGATCGGAGTGAGGTGGCTCACCGTTCGCAAGTTCGATCGCTGTGATCCCCAGTGACCAGATATCGGCCTAAAACATTTGTTTTAATACCGTTCAAAACGTGATTTGATTTTTTTGATTGCGTTTTGGGCAGGAAAGTGCATTCGGAAAACAGCTGATCTTGACGAGGACAAGCTGGAAAGATCAAGCATCCGCCAGGGCAACAATGGTTGTAAACTTTCAGCGTAACGAAGAAAAGAGGGGTAGATAGTGGGCGTTGGCGAGAGTACGGTAGGCACCGGGCTCTGATTTTGATGAAAGCAGAAGCTAGGCAAACGAACGATTCTAGGAAATAGGGGCTGGGGTGGCAGCGCTAAATGACCCTATGCACTGTCGTTGAAAAGAAAGTAGTTCTTAGCAATTTTATTCCCGAAATCCCGAGTATAGTTCCAGTACACTTTGACGACGTACCGATACAAATGACGCTCTAATAAGGTGCGCTCTCGCCCTCTCGCCGCAAAAACTGCCTGTTTCTTGGGATTTCCTGCATTAATTTCTTTGATTCAACCACTCAAAATTCTGGAAATAGTCAAAACGTGAGCAAATCTTCAGCCGAATCGCAAAAATACCTTAAGTGAATGGAGTTATTTGCAAGAAACCGTAAAAACGAAACACGCCGGTTTACGGTCATACGGAATTACGAACGATACGTACGTTTCACCCGGAACTATCGGAGGGGAACTATACTCGGGATTTTAGGGTAGTTCGGAAATAGATCGGCGAAATGAGCGCAAAGCGAATCGTAAGTAACCTTATGGTCGTAGCTGGCCTGACGGATAAGCTCTGGTGCCATCCAGAAGGGGCTGCCGACAAAGGTGATCCGCTTCTTCACCGTCTCGGTCAACTGGCCGGCCACCCCGAAGTCGGCGACCTTGACTTCGCCGGTCTCTGACACCAATACGTTGGCTGCTGAAAACAGAGGGCATGATCAAAGGGCTGGACATACACTCGGATATATGCAACAATGATACCAATCGAAACGCGTGACCACCCACACAAGACAACGACAACGCACACAAGCACAAAGAGCCAATGCGGTTGAAAGAGGCTCGGGCCAACCGCAATACTGCATACTCACGAGGACCGTAAAACCCAGTTGCCGGTTAGCTGAGCCCCGCCCGGGGGAAGCAGGGTTGGGTGATGGATTTGTCTGTAATAACCTTATCGTCATATCGCGACTGCGTGATAACTTCCGGAGCCATGAAGTATGGGGTGCCGACAAATGTTTCCGCCTTTTTCCCGCTGATTGTCCAAAGATGAGTGGCCACCCCGAAATCGGCCAGCTTGACCCCGCCGTCATATTCGTGAAGCAGCACGTTGGCCGCTGGAATGTTCTTCATTCCATGTACCCTAGCCAAATATCATTTTTGCCGCCCTATCGGGTGCAGCTAGCCCAGCCAAAAATGCCGCATGAAATGGAAGGTCGGAAGCGGTTCCCGAGTAGAACGTTATGCAGAAGGCAACTTTCAAACAAAATTAATTTTGGGAAATTGGGTATTCCGAGCGTAGGGTTGTGCTTTGCGCTTAGTTTCATGCACCAAACCAGGACGTTGTCCAGAAAATGAGCTAGGCACCGTGCGCGTCCATGAAAACGAAATACTACCCACCTTTGATGTCTCGATGAATCTTATTTTCCGAGTGCAGATACTCTAAGCCCTAAAAGGAATGGTCAGTCAACACGACTATTCCCACCTTCAGAATCTCACGGACTATCACGGCGATCTGTGATTCATCTAATTTGCCGCTTTTCGTGAGGTCGAGTGCCGATCCACCACCAAGATACTCCATGATAATCCACAGTTTCGACCCCTAGAGAGCTGGTTTGAGCCCCGGGACACTTCACTAATAAGTGTCAAGATAGGTTACGTAGGGGTTTCTTCCAAAAAGTCGAAAATCATACTGTCAAAATTCACAATGGCGAAATCCGTAAATTCGAAATTTTATAACGCCAAAATTTAGAGTGTTGAAATTTACATAACCTAATTTTTTCGGAAACCCCCGAATACGATACAAAAATGTCGGCATTCTGAATTTCAGCCTTACTGAAATTTGGGCACTATGAAAGTCCTACATAATGAATACATTATGATTTTCGACACTATGATGGCAAATCGTTACGTAACTTCCTAAATATTTCAGGTTACCTTCAAGTAGCTGCCAAAATACTTTGTCACATATGCAGAGTCGCATTGGCTGAGTACCTAGAAAAGGGGCGCGGAGGGTCTTTGATTCGGATCGATATACCTGAATCTCCTGTTGAATGTCTTCAATCTCATCCTCAGCCTCTTCTAGATCAATAATCTTAATGGCAACAACCTGGGAGCATTTAATTAGGCAAATTAGGAATACCTGGCCGGTTCGTTTGTCGATCCCCTTGTACACTTCACCAAAGGAGCCACGGCCAATTCGCTCCTGCTTCGTGAATAGGGCCTCTGGGTCAAGCTTCTAGAAACCCAGCGTTCAAAGCTGTCTACACTGTCTGCTATTTACACTCACTAACAGCCTTTCCAAAAACCTAATTTTGCAATTTTTTCGTAACGTATTTTTTGTGTGCTGTTTTTATTAACAGGCAAAACAAATTTGGGCGAGATTCCAGATTTTCTCGTAAATCACCGACCGGAAAGTTGTCAAAGCGTGCTAGCATCACGGAATAGGTGCGATTTGGGTCGTTCTCGGATCGGATCGATCTGGTTTGGGAACGGGTGGGTATGGCTAGCGCGAAAAGTCAACACATGCCCGCCAGAATACGACAGTTTAGTGGTGGGCTGAACATTGCACCCCAGGCTTCGTCCCTAACGCCGTGAAGATGCAAAGAAAATAGGGGTTCTTTCGCATTATCCGGGGGGGGGGGGAGAATCTAACATTTTGCTTAAGTCTAGAAATGCCTGGTAACTTTTGAAAAACTCTCGTAGGCGAGACGCATTTCGGGGGACGCGGCAACTCGTAAGGCACGTTCTTAGACCCTCATTTTCGGGTTCTTTCGCATTATCGGGGGGGGGGGACTTTTTTGTTATCTAGAAATGTCTAATAACTTAATAGACAGCGGTTTAATAGTGTTTTCACTAATACATAACTATATTTTAACTAGAAAAACTATCGCCAAACTTTAAAAAAGTCGAATGCCGTTTTCGGTGGAAACTCGATCTTTTTGATGTTTTTTAAAACAAATTTGTAAAGTTTTCGCGTTTAGGAATAGTAAAAAAAACCATTTAGTAATTCCACTATTTGTATTTGAAAAATCCGATCCTAAGAAAACCTACCTTTTTAATCTCGTCGAAGGTGAGTATGGGATGTGCGAGCCTTGCCGTGTCCTCACTGGCGGCCGTTCGCTTGCGAACCTTCGGCCCTTCATTGTAGGCTGTATCAGCTGCTCTTCAGGGATGCGACGTTGGTCTTCACCTTCCATGGAAGTCCCCTTCTTCAGCAGATCTTCATACACTCCCAGCATTCCCGCTCCAAAGTTCGCCGGCCTGTACCCGGCACCATTCGACTCGTAGCTCCGTGAATACAGCTCCTTCTTACCACCGGAGCCCGGCGGAGACTTTCGCAAGACGACGTTCTCTCCCTGGAAATGTAGCGTATGCGCATCCACGTGTAGGAGCAGACCCTTTCAATCCAAATTTCCTTCGGGATCAAGTACCCCTGGTTCTGGGCTGTTAACGGGGGGTTGAGCAGGGGGAACCACTTTCAGTTTTTCCACCTGTACTTACCGGTTGATTTGATATTCTGTATTCTTATATTGTTTTAGTAGTTTTTAATTGCTAGAAGGTTATAAAAAATATTTTTAAAATTTTGACCCTTTTTGGCCATTTTCATACATTCTTGAACAAAAGTCAACAATTTTCCAAGAGCTTTATTATTTTTTTCGATTGTTTTTATCTCCAAAACATATGTAAAATCTTATAATAAATGTTTTATATTTTGTTATAGGGCCGTAGAGAATCACAGGGAAAAATTTGGTGCCCCCCGCTAACAGTCCAGAACCGTCCACCTTGAATTATCGAATTTCTTCTATTATGGTCGAAAAAGCAGATCTTCTTAATTTTACTTTAAGCTTCTTAACGACCTTCAGTGAAAACGACCTATTTTTAATTTAGCCACAGCTTTTATTCATATTCTGAAAACGGAATTGACTTACATCTTGTCGCGGCTCCAATGCCGAAAACTCTGCAGGCAGCAAAGTAACAATGGATTTCGAAGGATCCGTGCGTCTGGAAATATCAGCCTTGTTTCGTACTTCCGAGTTTGAACGCTTCATGTCGATCGGCTTCCGGCGCTCCGCCTTGATAGGTTCATGGTAGGCATAATCGACAGAGGTAGATGCCCTCGCTTCCGCCACAATCCCATCCGCAAGCAGATTGCCTAGGTTTTTCTGTTTAAGGTATCCTGTCGTAGTTATTTACTGTGGCTGAGTCGTCGGTGTAGTTGAAGCTGGGCTTGGCCGAGGCGGGGCATGGGCTCGGGAGGTTTTCTCGTTGGCTCGAAGCGGCTGATCGCGCTCTGAACGCTCGTATTTCGGCATAGCGTATCCGTGAAACGATCGTCCGTTGCCTTCACGGCCGTCATATCGGCCTGAACGAACCCGTAACCTTTTGGAGTAAGATAAATGCAATTATAAAAAAAACAAAAAACACAGTAAAAAGATAATAATCCCAATAAAAAAAGATTCCCCTCTAAGCCGATGCAGAAGTATCGTATCGGAACAACAATTACATTATTAGCAAGCCCTTCAAACGGCGTATTTGCAATAATCGTCATATCCATGCTTTTATTCAAACGCGTCATTTTATAATGCATTTAAAAACACTAAGGAACGATCTCTACATCTAATCAACGGCTACTTGCGACCGTTTTGCTTGGAGAAATTGAGACAAATTAGCTCGTCTGCAACCCGAAAAACCACCCAATTTCACAAAATGGGTGTTTTTTATTGGGACACCATGTATACCCGCAGGTTCAAAATTTAAATGATCCTAGGCCGGAGATTCAGCTAGATTACAAGTGTCTCCAGCAACCGGCCATATGCTAATTTCTTGTGCCAAGCGCGGAAAAAGTCGATGGCTGCCAGGAATTGGCAATGGGCTGGGTTGGCATGAGAGCGCGAATTATCGCTCGGGCCGCTTCGAGACAAGATAAGCTTTTGGGGAGTGCCCATAAAAATGCGGAGCGAGAAATATTTGGGGTCCACCTGAGTCATGCAACGTCCGGCAAAAGATTAGTCGGAAAATAATCCGGGAATTGACGCCGGATTCAAGTTCTCTAGCGGGAGGGGGGTTGGCAGGGAAAACCACATTTTTTCCGGATATCTGCAATGATGCCACGTAATGAAATAGAAAGTATGGCACGAGTATTCTACGGCTTTCTTCACTAACAAAAACTAAAAAAATGGATAAAATTTTCTAAATTGACTTTTGGCTTAAAAGACACGAAAATGGCAATATCCTAATTTTCCGCTAGTTTTAAAATAATTTATGTTTCCTTAAAATAGACATTAGGTTGAAGGGAGGAAGATACTCCTGACCCCTAGCAACTCCCCGCTCAGAACCTGATATTTTTCCCGGTGATTGTCTACGACCCCATAACAAAATATAGACGATTTTTATAGCATTTTCATTTTACGTAGTTTTCAGCTACAAAAACACTAATAAAAGTTTCGAAAATGTTTCACTTTTTTGTTGAAAATGTATGAAAATACATAGTATATCGTCCACAGCTAGGTAGAGGTGGAAAAACAAAAATTGGGTTCTTCCCCTTGCTCAAACCCCCACCCCCGCTAACAGTCCAGCACCGACATTTGTATGCATCGATGGAGTGTCCGTGAAGCGTGAGATTACTGAAACTCGTTTAGGTGGAACGGTCTGTCACTAGGAAGCACAGAAGAGCCAGGAAGCCAAAAAAGCGAATGCGGGCGCATAGTCCCAGCATGGGGTCCGGTCGTAAACCGTGAACACAACAGTTTGACGCCTCGCCATTTTCGGGAGGTGAATAGGCTTGGAAATCGGGGAGGGAAGAGCCTGGGGGTCGTCGGGGCTCGAGACTCTAGCCCCCACCTTGCAGAAGCGATGCGCGTGACGCGCCAAGTCAAACAGCCACCGGCTCATGCGCGGCCCGTTCTAAGAGACTGTGCAAAGGGGGGATGGGGCGAGGAGAAGACTGTTGTATACATTCTCATCCACATCCAGCCCACCTTTCCCGCCACCACCAAAACCACCAAAGAACAGCGCGCAAACAACCGCGTCGGGGTGCCCATTGATCAAGCTGATATCGGAGCTGCCAAGCAAATTTACCTGCACACCAAGGATGAAAAAACCGTTTCGAGTCGGCTAAATGCTGACCCCCTAGGATCGATGGATTTGGACACGTTGCTTCGCGAACTTACTTCCCATGAAGGGAAAAACGCCAAAATCCTGCCGGCCAAATGTCGGGACTATGGCTGGAATTCCCCTAGACAAAGCAAAATACCCGGCTACAAGATGTCCCAAAAAATCGAACCCTCTCTAGCGGTCCAGAGTAAGGTCGGGTCGGGCTGGTTTTTACACCATCCGAAAGCTCTCGGATAGGCAAGAAAACAAGCGCTTTTCGTTTTACAAACTTGTAGCACGCGCTCGATATGAGAAGATTTCTTAAAAACGAGTAAAATCAGCGTCGTCCTGTTTGCTTTATCAAGCATAACACCCCGAATTTTCAGTTTTCATGGATTTTGGCTCTTATAGTGAATAAAATGCTTGTATCAAAACCGAAAAGTGCTTGCTTTCTCGCCTCTCCGAGAGCTTTCGATAGCTACCTCAATCGTCACAATCGGACATGACTATGACCCGCTAGCGGGTGTGGATTTTTTTGGGACACCCTGTACTCCTTAATATAATTTATTAAATCCCTTAAAACTCCCTTGCGTTTGACGCCAATTTTTTCAACCAAAAGCCTCGCGATTTTTATGGAAAAGTTTAACTTTTTTTGCGAAAAACGCAGTTTTGAAAATCTGTTAAAATCGGCAGCCATCTCGAGGCGATTATGCAACATCACCCCCCCAGGTACCTTATCTGCCTGAGCTTCTTATTCTAATCAGCCAAACACTTTTTAAGTTGACATTGATCTTTTGTACATCATATTGCCACCCCCAACAGTGCTCGCGGCCACGGGGCGGCTATGCCCTATTTATGCGCCTCGTAACTATGGTAACCGGGGGCGTTTTGGTGTGCCAGTTGCAACGCTTCCAAGCATTTTACTCGAAGAATGGCATCTGTTGATATTTGGCAACTGGCGCGTCAGAAATATCTAGAAAATCAGGCAAGGCATCTTCAGCTGGGCGACGATGATGACGAGTCTGGGGGTGAGTCGTGGTTCACAGGGGCCACCTTCCAAATCTGTCGGACTTTTAGCCCAAGCCAAACCCCACCGAAGCGAGTCTGTGGTCGTCGTTTGCGGAAGCCAGAACTGCGTACGTAAACGGTGCACTTGAAAGAGACATGACATTCAGGGAAAGACCTCTCTTTTACTTCGCTTTTTGGAGCGGAACGAAACCCCAAAACCATCAATTGGACTCGAGTACACTTATGGTCGACGGACACGCCGAAATGTTCGTTTGCTGTCCACGTCCAGTCGCTTTTAGGCGAAGGAAGTCTGCCATCTCTGGGAGCTGAGCGGCGGGACGAGACTACGTGCGCTACTCTCCGTGGCATTAACCACCAAGAACTTAGAGTGAGGTTGAGTACCAGCAACTTCAACGGTTTAGGAGCACGTCCCTGATGGTTGTATTGGACCTAACGAGGCCTAACGAGTTGTGGGTGACGGCAGAGAGACTACTCGAAGGAGCGCGTAAACGTGTAGGTGACGTGCTCAATGACCTGCAGCGCGCTGACCCTGCTGCCCACAGCCGTATCTTGGCCGCTGCTGCCGCACGGCTTGCAGCATCTAAGGTAAGCGAGTAATCGGCGATCTTATACTCCTTGACCATACTTTAAGGACAAGGATATGATCAGCGCCTTTCCGATTCCGCTTGCCTTCATAGGGGCTAAATATGATGAATTTCAGGTGAATTTCCGGCAAACTATTTATTCCTCTGCCCTTTAGAATTTCGAGTCGGAGGATCGACGGCAGATCGTCAAAGTGTTGCGATTTTTTGCCCATTATTATTGCGCCGATCTGCTGGTAAGAACTAATCGGGTTTCCCTATTCCCGTTATATCAAACCTATTTTTTTGCGCACCTCCCTCCCCCCGGCCGCATCTATTGTAGCTCGGGCTCCCATTGCTTCATCATCGGCGTAGAGTATACCAAAGGATTTGCCAGACCAAAACGAACATTTTGGCGTACCTCACAATTTTGTTGGTCAATTGGGAACCGAGATACAGCTGCTGGAGCAAGGAGTTAGGGCACGAAAAATCTTCTCCGATATACAAATGTTGTGGTGCCACCCATTTATCAATTTTAGTTCTATTCTTCCAAAATGGAAAATTTGACGGTACGTGGGCGAGCACTGACCGGCCATCTGGCCTTCGGAACCGCAAATAATAAGGTGAATCCCCTTCTACATACATCCCTGGGCTTCTGCTTTGGCTTCGGATTAGGCTTCGGCTTAGGCTTAGGTCCTAGGCTTAGGCGCTTAGTTAGGCTTGGGCTTAGGCTTAGGCTTAGGGCTTGCGAAAAGGTGAAGCTCTATCTAAGCCTAAGCTGACCCAAATTCTGCGCATTATCGCCACTGACTTAAGGGTATGATCACCGATCACAGCAAGCCCATATTTGTGGCGCACGGCGAGGATTCGTTCGAGGTATAAATTTTTTCAGTAGCTGTAAATGTCCTAGGAAATCGGCCCGCCACCTCAGCTAAAGAACGCGCTTGCCAACCTACGCACCTCGAACCTTTTATCGATGTGGCGCGACGCCTTCGACGAAATTTACAAGCAAAAAGTTTGTTTTTTTACTTCTTTTGTTTGCCGGGACCCGCACGAGGCTGAATGTCGATTTTACATCACCTTTATAGGAGCTCAACCTCGAGCAGGAGGCTGATAACTCGAGTGACGCCTTGTTCGCCGAGAAAGCTATCGATAAATATATCGAGCAGAAAAATCGGGTTTGTTGCAGCATTCAGCCGGTTTGTTCAAAAAATCACCCCTGTAGCCGGCCGCAGACTTGTCCAATTATTACGATTATGGTACCTATCGAAAGCCCTCGAAAAGACGAGTGCAGCACGTGACTCCGATTTTCGAAATTTTGGCTTTTTTAATTTTCAGCATTTTTCACGCAATACGGACATGCTTTTTTTATCGAGAGCTCAGTTTAGCCGGTTTAAGCGCTGTCTAAGTCGTATTTTTGCGCTGGACTCACCTATCCGAAAGCTTTTGTTAGATACCTAAATCGTAGAAATCGGACCCGATTGGGGGCGCTAGAGGCGGTGATTTTTTTCTGGCACGCTGTAGAAGATGTAGCCATTTAGGATCTGGAGCTATACATACGTCAACGAAGGGAAAGAAAGAACCAGCGTGAAGGGTGACATTTGCAAAGAGGCGTCATTCATCGGATGCCGTAGACTATTAATAAGCAGCTTTTGAATAAACCTTGTTTTGCATTGCATGTCGGGGACTCTGTAAACTTACAATTTAGATCATTTCGTCGTATTCCACTTCTGCAAGGTTGGGTGAGTTTTGTTTAACTAAAACTAGAGCCTTGCCTAGACTTTAACCGAAAAGCTAGCCAGGCTTAAGTGCAGTTTACCCCCCTCCCCCCCAGCCGACTCCCCACCTATCTTATCTCGGCTCCCTGTTCATCAACAGGTGTGTAAAGTATACCAAAATACTCGGGGGAGCAAGGCGAACATTTTGGTATACTTACACACCTGTAGATGAACAGGGAGCCGAGATACAAGCCGGGGCTGGGGGGGGGGGGGTAGACCGCACTCTAACCCTACATGGTAAAAAAACCATTTAGAAACACTTCCACTACCTAGATATCTGAAAAATTAGATCCTAAGAAAAAAGTTGGCCCCTTCCCCCTGATGGGAAAGAGCCCGATCTTCTAACACTGACATTCAGATTATGGCAATGCCCGTCACGAGCTGCTCCTCGTTCTTGACGGCCAAAGACAAGCTGCCCGGCGCTTTTCAGACCATCGGGCTTGACCCCCACAAATCAGAAGGTCGGGGGGCAGGTTAGACAACTGTAACACTGGCTTCAGGCCACGACGTACTTCTTGTGCGCCACGCTGAGTCGATCGCCGAGGTGTTCCCCGACTGGGTGCGCCGTACCAAGATCGACGAGCGCTTCTACCGGCCCACCGACTTGGTACCGTTTGAAGGGCCGGCTAATAGAAAGTTTGGTTCTGTTCTATTTCGCGGGGGGAAACTGCGGGGGAAATTTTCTTCGTTTTGTGATAACTCTTTTATATGATGCTATTTTGAGTTGTAATTAAAACTCTTAGTATATTTTTTGACGCTCTATCGAATGGCATTCAAGAAATTTTTGAAAGTTATCGAAAATGTCGAGAACTAGCTTTCGGCTCCGCGATCCCATGTGGAAACACCGAATAAACCTTGTTTTTGCTATAACTATTTTATAAAACAATATTTTTAGATGAAATTAAAACTCTTAGTATATTTTTTGATGCTCTATCGAATGACCGGTTCAAAATATCGAAAAAATGGCGAAAATGCCAAAAACTAACATTCCGGAACCAATTTCAATAGTTTTTTTTTGTTTTTGCTATAACTTTTTATATTACAATATTTTTAGCTAAAACAAAACTCTTAGTATATTTTTGATGCTCTATCGAATGGCGTTGCAAAAATCCTGAGAAAATAGCGAAAAGGTGAAATTCCGCGAAGCCTATTTTCCC